TTAAATTTTAAATTTTAAATTTTTTTAAAATTTTAAAAAATTCTGGATCACCCATATATATTTAAATCATAACAAATTATTTGGTCAATATTTGAAAAAGGAGAAAATTATTGAAAAGTCTAAAGTTAAGAAGGGTATAGGACATTAGGTCCAATAGATATTTTTTTATTAGTGAGAGGTCCAACGTTGTGAAATAATTTGGTGAGATTTTGAAGGATATTTTTTTTACTTTTTTTGATTATCTATTCAATTTTTTTTTGTCTATTTAAATTTATATATATTTGTTTAATTTTTTTAATCGATTCAAATTTTAACTATTTGTTCAATTTTTTTTCCTTATCTGTTCAAATACTTGTCCAAAGCTTTATTATCTGTTCATTTTTTCCTTACATGTTGAAATTATTTTAATGTATATGTTTTAGTTTTTTTTTTTATTTGTGCAAATTAGAGAGAGGAAAAAATGAAAATCACTATTCAACCAAACTATCTATTTAATTTTTTAAAATATTTCCTATCTGTTGAACTACTAAGCCAAACCAAATCATATATGTCAAAATATAGAGCGAAACAAACCACTAAACCACTATCTGTTGTAATAGTAAGCCAAAACCAAACCAAATCAAACCAAACCAACAACAACAACAACAACATAGATATAAGCTTAACAACACATATCTGAGCTCAAATATAAATAAATAAATAAATAAAGATATAACATATATATTCAACAACAACACAGATCTTAGCTCAAATGTAAATTAAAAAAAGAATAGAAATTTCAAAGATACAAGTTGATAAAACAAAACTTGGATTTTCATAGCCCATTCAATTTTAATACGTATTTTCAAAAACTCAAAACAGTTTAAAATTAAATTTTCAAATTCAAAATTGTTTTGGGAAGTTTTAAGAGGAATCTGAAAAAAGTATTTTGCAATAGGTCTCTGGGCTTGAATTTTGTCAAAAAGAAAAAAAACCATTTCCATTTTACATCTTGAAAAGCATATGAATTACACATCAACTACGCACAATAGAGATGCACATTAAACCAAAGAACAAGAACAGATTTCTGGAGTTTAAAAAAAAAAATGAAAAATCACAAAAAAACACTAAGTTAGAGATATTTTTTTCTATAGAGAGAAAGTGTCATCTATGCTTTTTATCTTTTATGTATATGTATACTAGTATATAAATTTGGTTGTTGTGACATCAATCTGTCTCTCTGATTCTGAAATTTTGGTTCTTAAGACGACACAAATCACCATGGTTGGGATGTGCAATGCCATAATATTAACTTTTCTTGGTTTGTCTTTTTGATTGATGGGTTTGCTTTAGTGGACTGACTTGACTTCAATGTTTCTTCGTCAGTGTCAATTTAGAGAGAGAAGAGAACAAGATCCAGCAGATATGCTTTTCCAGCCATTTTATTTTTTGTTCTAAATGTTTTTACGGTGTCTAGGCATCCTGTGGACCAATATTGCCACATTTTCAAGCTCCAGATAGATGTTATTGTTAACATAAGGCATCCTGTGGACCAATATTGCCACATTTTCATTAAAAACTAATTCACAATCAATGCACAATATTCAATTTACAATTGTATTCAGAAATTAATAAGCTCCCGAATTTTTTATTTTTTATTTAAGTGTTATAAGATACTACCAACACTAATTACAACTATAATACTCAAAGCTTTTGATATATTGGTATTGTTTATAAGTGATTATCATGTAATTAAATACACTGCACGAGGGTTGGAGAATATGTCTCATAACTTTTGATATACTCAAAGCTTTTGATATATTGGTATTGTTTATAAGTGATTCTTTTTTTCCATCTCCTTGCTGTAAGTTTAACTATTATGTTTGTTGTTGAATTTTAGGAGGCCCATAAATTACTCCAACCAGCTGACAAAATTTTAAAGACATTGGCTGTTGAACTTGCAGAGTACCAGGTGGAGTTTGACTGATTTGTTTTTTTCTATTCAATATAGTTCTGAAATTCCCCCATGGTGTTCATTGAGACTCATGATGGATCCATAATTTTTCTGTGATTCAATCTCTCTATTTTCAGGTCTGTGTTGATGTATTTATTACTACCCAATCTTATGTAGACTTGCTTCAATCTCTGTTAGCCCAAGAACTACTGGAGGGCAGGTATTCATTATTGACTATTTATTCTTCGAGAGTTTTCTTCTTAGTTCTGAATTGATAGTCGCAGTTCTGTCCCAAGAATTGTTGATTTGTTGTTGAAAAGCATAATTTTGATTTCTTTTAAATGATTAGTTTGCAAAGCTGTCTATGTATGCAAATATATGGCATCTAGGCATGTTTGTCTTATATGCTACTCTCATTTGAAAAGAGACTGCAAGTTGGATGTGACTTTCTTATGCGAAAATCTGCAACATACTCCTAAATAGCTTGGTGAAAGTTGCAGTAGCACGGTGTGCAGGATCCATTGATGGTGTTTTTAATTATTTAATTCAAAGTTGCATTTTGAACTGTTTTCTTCTTGACAAACTGATCTTTTAAGTAACAATTTGTTAACTTCAAATGACATCACGGGCTCTTTTAAGTAACAATCGTCAATATAATCACAGACGTGATTGATCAGATCACAGTTGCCACTGTGACCAATTTCTTACGAACAAATTTGTAGAGAAATACCTGGTGTCCACGGCAAACACCTAATATAGGGATGTCCCTACACTCGAGTAGCAGCTTAAGGCATATTCCTGTGAGATTCAAATAAGTTACAAACAAGTAATAAAATTCAGCTAAGTAAAAACATTGTGCAAATAATCTAAGCAGAAATCTATAACATGACAGTCAACCTCATCACCCTATCATAGCAACAACCAAAACTGTCAAATTCATAAAGGTCTAATGCACAAGGTGCAGAATTCTGAAGTTTCAGCAGATATATTTCTAATAAGATAGTGTTTCGGTCTGATCTGAACAATATTAATTTGGCAATGAAATACATTGCATCATTCAGGATGTAGATTACATTTAAAACTCCATCCTACAGAAAATGTAAATCCAAGGACACTGATTCTGCCTTTTGGGTGATGTAGTTCACATTTGCCAATTGCAATAAATGTAATAATGTATGTGTCATGATACTCAAACTACGTCTAATGTGTGTGTGTGTGTGTGTGTGTGTGTCTGTTGTATTCAAACTGCTTACCATAAGCACATAAGAATAAAAGGCTAAAAAGCAGAGTTCATTTATCTAACCTATATCTGCTGGGCATGTGGGAGAACCAGGACCTGGTGATATAACAATATTGTCAAAGGCATTTTCTTCATACAAGTAATGGTAAATGTCTTCCCATGTCCATTCATCATTCCGCACAACCACTGGAGGCACTGGCAGCATAACAAGTAAAACAACAGATGTCAAAACAAGAGCCATAATCCAGTGAAGTCCAAAACTTCTCATTCATAAAATGTCAAATATAAATGTTAGCAATTTTTATTTTCTCATAATGGAAGCCCGTGATATTTTAGATTGGAGGTACAGCTTTTATCAGCATGTTTTCATATCAAACTGTGTGGGTCCGTTTTAGTTTATTTTTTATATTGCTCCTGTGCTTGTAGTTTTATTTTTCCAAAGTTCTGAGGTGCTTTCATAAGACACTAGACAGCACAGTCCACTGGACTACAATCTGAGGTACTTTCACAAGACACTAGACAGCACAGTCCACTGGCATGAAAACTGTGCTTGCACAGAGGCAACAATCTACACTTCTCACCCACCTTGAAATTGTCCAAACAAACAGCACAGTCCACTGGACTACTTCCTTTCTCTCTTGCTTTGAAATCAAAGCTCGGAAGCCTTTCGAGGTCGTCTTGAGGCATGCTTGTGCTTCCAAATCTGGACTTACATGTAGCACACTAGAGTGTCCTTTATATAGGACTTCATAGGTGACACGAGTCACACACCCTTAGAAGCCTTTACATATTCCCATGCAACCTATTTACTAATATGATGCATTTTCTTAAGAGATATATGTCACCTAACTTTTAGGAAATTGTGGATTATAATTTCCAAGGCCTTTCAATTCACAATTCAAAACATGGCCAAAGTTCATTTGTCCATTTGCTATTGCTTTTCTTGCCATCTTTAGGCAATTATCAATCCTTTACATTTTAATGTTGTCGTCTTTGGGTGATGACTAATCCCTTCTCGGTATGCTTTGACATACCCACATTTCATTTGTCCTGTTACAGCTGCATATGCAACTTCTGCTTTTTCTGTTAATCTTTTGGCAGAGATCAATTTGAACAGTTTTGCTTCTTTCACATTTGCAATGTGAATTTGAGGTCATTTAGCTGTTATATTAATTGAATTGGATGTGATATCTCAATTTACTGATACAGAAGTAATAATCTAGACATATTTATTCTTTTATTAAAAGCAAAGCATGATGGAATGAGGCAGTGTGGATTATCTGAAAGGGGCCTGTTTTTACTCGGACCTGGATGCCAATTATAAAACATCAAATTCTTGTTTAGGATACTACCATTGTTGTTTCTTTGTTTCAATAAGACTCACTGTTTTTACTTGGTATTTAAAAGTCGGTGTTAGTTGTTTAAATTTAGAATCGTGTACAATTTTAATTGAATTCTTCATGTTTGAAGCTCAATAAGCTTGTTAAATAATCTGCTGTGCCTTTATTTATTTATTTATTTATTTATTTATCTTTAAATTGTAAGCATGAAACTGCTAGTAGCAACTTACTAGACATTAGAATATTACTCGCAGCATTTAAAATAATGTGCTTCGCCTCATGACAAAGGTTCATTTTAGTGATTTGACAAAAGTCTCAAAACACAGTACTGTTAACTTTATTGTTTTCTGTTTCATTTTTAGAAATGGATGACTCTTCGCGTATTCCACCCATTGCCTCAGAGAGACGACGTTGTGCATTAACTAATACTAGTCGTGGCCGAGGTCGAGGTTGTGGTCGGGGTAGCGGTCGGGATGATGATATTGTGTTAGAGGAAGCACGTCAAATCTTGGAAGAGGATGTGATCGATAATGGTTCAGGGGATGATGATGATGCTGCTGATGTAGATCAGGCTGAGGAGGTACTCACTAGTCCGTTTCCGGGGGGCCCATCAGATCCATCAGTACTGAAGAGCTTCAAGGCACATATTGCAGCAGCTATATGGGAGCAAAAGGTAGTATATCTTTTTATCCATGTTTGTTTCATTTAATTATTTATTGAACAAAATTATTTATGTAAATTATTACTTACCTTGCAGGAGAGGAATCCCTTAAGGTGTTATAATCATGCGTCCAAGATTATTGAGTGGCGGTGGTGGTCAAGAACTGACAATAGAAGGTTTAGGGACATTGTGCAGCTGTCAGGCCTATCTTCTTTGGTCCATTGCACATATCGGTTCGTGAATAGGATTGTCATAGCTGCATTTGTTGAGCAATGGCAACCAGAGACAAATACTTTCCATTTGACAGTTGGTGAGATGATGATGACATTGGATGATGTGGGTACCATCTTGGGGATCCCTATCACAGGTAGATCAATTAGTGCTGCAACTTTAACAGATCAACAGGCACATGCACTTGTGGTAGATGCCTTGGGAGTTGATGATGCTAAAGCAACTGAGGAGCTATCATCTGCTAGGGGACAATCAGTGAAGCTGGAGTGGTTACGAACCAAATTCAGTGGTTGCAAAGATTCAGACACCGAGGAATCCATAGCTTGTGCCACCAGAGCGTATTTGCTATTTCTATTGGGATGTACATTATTCAGCGATAAGAGTGGGACGAGAGTTCCTGTTGTGTATGTCACACCCCAAATCCGGGCATGACCGGCCGTGGCCCACAGGGACTTAGCCCATGGCACACGTAAGCCTAAACATGAATCCAAAACCATAAAGAATAAATGTGATGATAGCCCAGAATAAATAAATCAAAACTCAATCCAGTGACATGTCACAATTGAAAAACAAGTCATAACCAACTTCCTAAAAATATATATATACTAAATGGGACACAAACCGCCCACAACATAAAATAATTCTAAATAAAACTCAACCACAATGTATGGACAAAACTCGAAAAGCAACCTAAAACAAATTAAATAAATGCCCTAGAGGTCCATGCAATTGAGTCCCCGCTACGCCATGAGTCCACTCTATGTCCTTCTAACACCTGGAAATGGTAAACAACTAAGTCAGCTAATAGCTCAGTGAGTAGCAACATGGATAGTAAATACAGTTTTGAAAACAGGGTTCAATTCCAAAATAAGGTATATCACAAAAACTAGATTGGCATACAGTTTGGTAAATATAATCTGTTTCAAAAAGAAGGTTCCATAGTTTAACACTTAAAATACGCATATCTCGCAAGAGCATGATAAATGACATTTTCCACTTAAAACAGATTATAATATGAACACCAATAATTTTCTAGGTACCAATAAAAACAAATAATCTGCCACACATTTCTCAGGCTATAAGCCCCGTTGGATCCAATACCGAACTAAGAGTCATCCTCAGGGTGGCACCTGGGCCTTTTCTCAAAGACGATCCAATTGAAAGTCACCTAGTTGTTTTTAAAGGTCTTTTCCTTACAATCGTTGAGCACTAGAGTCATCACGGCCCAACCCGGATCTGTTCCCTAGTGGCCAGAGTCACCACACAAAGTGGAATAATTTCCCTGGACTAAATACACACATGGTCCCAATAATCAATACACATCAGTTTCGTAAAACATGGTAGTTCATCATTATAAACATGAGACCAAAACAAATAGTTTACAGTATGCCAAGTTCACACATGTTTCAGAAATAATTTGATTCAATTGATAATATAATAATTTATCAAAACAGTTTAATCATGAAACAACAATTTAATTTTCCAACCGTTCAGGGTATGGGGAACATTTATAAAAATATGTAGCATGAAACTACTCACCTGAAAACGAAATAGTATTATCCTCGAATAAAGTATGAAAGTCCAACTAGTGGCCTGAACCAAGTATAAAAACTACACGTCACAACTAATTTAAAAATACTAAAAAAGTAGGAACTAAGTAACCTCAACTAAAGCGCACTAACACGGCTCAACCCAACTCACCGTTACTCTTAAATATTACCTAATTTCATGTTCTTCAAGGTCTAAAATCACCCAAGACATAGATTCCGATCGAAACTTAACTAAAAATAACTTTAAGATAAAACAGTGTTTTAAACAAGTTTTCCCAATCTATTCACAACTTTGAAAATTACAAAAACCCACTCCACGCTATTCAAAAAAATTCCAATAACCTCCAAATATGATCTAATCCTGCTATTTATACTTTCCGAAGTTAACCGTCGAATTGCATTTCAAACCGTCGAACTGCTCCTCATAAAGGTGATGCAGTGTCTCAGTTAAAATACTCCCAAATCATTGGAAGCCTGATGTACCTAATGAATTGTACTCGTCCTGATATAGCTTATGCTATCAGTAAATTGAGTAGGTACACTAGTAACCCTGGAGAAGACCATTGGAAAGTGATCATTCGGGTTCTTAGATATCTAAGATTTACTCGTGATCATGGTTTGAACTTTACTTGATATCCAGCAGTACGCGAAGGTTATTGTGATTGGATATTGGATACTAAAGATTCAAAATCCACTAGTGGATATGACTTTACTCTAGGAGGCGCTGCTGTTTCTTGGAAATCCACGAAACTAACATGCGTCGCACGATCCACAATGGAATCCGAGTTCATTGCTTTGGACAAAGCAGGAGAAGAAGCAGAATGGCTTCGTCACTTCTTAGAAGACATACCAATGTGGCCAAAACCTGTGCTAGCTATTTGCATTCACTATGATAGTCAATCTGCAATAGGCAGGACACAGAATCACATGTATAACGGTAAGTCACGACATATTCGTCATTGACATAATACCGTAAGGCAATTGTTGTCAAACGAAATAACCTCAATAGATTATATAAAATCTAAAGAGAATATTGCGGATCCATTAACAAAAGGTTTGACAAAAGAGCTAGTGTATAGTTCATCGAAGGGGATAGGATTAAAGCCTATTACATAAGAGTCGTCATAATGGTAACCCTACTTATATGACTGGAGATCCCAAGAACTAAGTTCAAAGGGACAACTAAGTTATGTATGGCTCGCCAGAAATCACCAAGGGATAAAAAATTCCCTACCCATTCCTATGGTGAGAGTGATATCTGCAACATATGTTGTATGCAGGGGTATAAGGATAAGCTTTGCTTTAATGATTACTTATATCTTGATTGAGGCATAAATCAAGACGAGTATAAGGAGATACTTACAATAAGAATCACCTATATGAGTGTTGAACTAGGCCGGTTCTATGAGAATGAAGAGGCTAAATTCTAGAAACACTTATGAAAACCAGGCGCGTACAAGGCCAAAATGAACACAACAGTGAGAACCACGATGTGTTAGAAGATATTTTGTGTGAAATCTATTGTCTTGGCTTACTCAAACGGCTGAACAATTCAAGGCATCGCGTCCATTGGTTAGCCAGTAAGTTCGATAGGTTATCACTAGGGAAGGTTCAAGGCCGAAAACTACTTATCCTGATGCAAGATATTTTCGACTTATACTCTTTCGATAAATCTGCATATTGTTGCATTTCCGTTGTCATCAAATTCCATTCATGTGGGGGATTGTTGGAAATGGTTATAAATTCTAGGTAAAACCAAAATTTTATCCTAAGTTCGGTCTATTTTTTAGGTGGGCTCCGTGTGTCGATTTTCACGGGTCAAAGTGGTAACGCGTTCTATGCCGCGTTGTGATTCACGTGGTATATTTGGTTGCTCAAAACCATTATCGAGTGAATGGGAAATTGAAGCCAAAATGTGCACCATGGAAATGGAGTTTTGGTGGAAATTCCTTAAAGGTTTGAATAAGGCTTGTCCCACATTGATTTGGTGGGAGGTTTTGAAAGGGTTTATAAGGCATGGGTTTGGTACTTGGGGTGTGCCCCAAGGGGTACCCAAGTGTTTTAGAGGGAGAGGTTATGGGCAAAATGGGCTAGACCTATTGGACTCAAAAAACCACAACACACACGCGCGCGCGCCACCGCCGCCGTCCGTCCGGTCGGTCGGGCGGGCTGGGCTGGGCTTAGGCACGGGTGCGTGGTGTGTGGTTGGGTTGGGCTTGTCCGGCCCAATACTAATCTTTTTGGGTAAAAAACATTTGAATTTAATTTTATTTTTGGTAAAATAAAATCCAGAATTCATATTAAACTGGTTTGGTTTTTCTGTACATCCAAACAGGGCCCTTCCCGTATTAAACCGGAAATAATCTGATCCGGATTTACTGTACACCCAAACAAGGCCCTTCCCGTTTTTGTTATCTGATTGAATTGTAACCCAACAGGTCCAAATCTGTTTGAATTCAAAACCAACAGGTGTCATACATGTTCAATTCAACAACCTAGAGCCACCATTCCATCTATAAATAGGACATCCCTCATTTGGATTTTGAGAACTCTAATTTTCGTCCTTCATAATTCTGCAAACATCCTCTTCATTTTGCTGCATTATTTTCTTGTCAGAGAGAGTATAAACACTTTGTGTGTTCGTTAGACAAACAATTTGTAGTGCTGCTATTGTTTGTAGTAGATCATTTTATCCTGGGAGATAGACGTCCACATCCTGAAAGCACCATGGAGAGGACGAATCTGTCTTAAGGACACAGTGTCAAACACTGGACTTGATCAGATTATAATTCGAAGAAATTAAATCAAGTAAGTTATTTAATTAATTTTTGTGTTATTGTTATTTATTTAAATCAGATTTTAATTTTGTTTTTGTAACAAAATAAAATTTATTTTTATTTATTTATTTATTATTTCGAGTTTGATTTTTGTAATCAAACAAATTCTCTCCTTTTCTTTATATTCTTGTTGTTGTTTTGTATACAACAGAATTTAATCTATTTAAATACAGTGAAGATTGTCCAACATGTTTGTCTTATATGCTACTCTCATTTGAAAAGAGACTGCAAGTTGGATGTGACTTTTTTATGCGAAAATCTGCAACATACTCCTAAATAGCTTGGTGAAAGTTGCAGTAGCACGGTGTGCAGGATCCATTGATGGTGTTTTTAATTATTTAATTCAAAGTTGCATTTTGAACTGCTTTCTTCTTGACAAACTGATCTTTTAAGTAACAATTTGTTAACTTCAAATGACATCACGGGCTCTTTTAAGTAACAATCGTCAATATAATCAAACAGGTACAGACGTGATTGATCAGATCACAGTTGCCACTGTGACCAATTTCTTACGAACAAATTTTTAGAGAAATACCTGGTGTCCAAGGCAAACACCTAATATAGGGATGTCCCTACACTCGAGTAGCAGCTTAAGGCATATTCCTGTGAGATTCAAATAAGTTACAAACAAGTAATAAAATTCAGCTAAGTAAAAACATTGTGCAAATAATCTAAGCAGAAATCGATAGCATGACAGTCAACCTCATCACCCTATCACAGCAACAACCAAAACTGTCAAATTCATAAAGGTCTAATGCACAAGGTGCAGAATTCTGAAGTTTCAGCAGCTATATTTCTAATAAGATAGTGTTTCGGTCTGATCTGAACAATATTAATTTGGCAATGAAATATATTGCATCATTCAGGATGTAGATTACATTTAAAACTCCATCCTACAGAAAATGTAAACTTCCACTGTCAACCTTATGTCCAAGGACACTGATTCTGCCTTTTGGGTGATGTAGTTCACATTTGCCAATTGCAATAAATGTAATAATGTATGTGTCATGATACTCAAACTACGTCTAATGTGTGTGTGTGTGTGTCTGTTGTATTCAAACTGCTTACCATAAGCACATAAGAATAAAAGGCTAAAAAGCAGAGTTCATTTATCTAACCTATATCTGCTGGGCATGTGGGAGAACCGTTGACTTTTAGTTGTATTGCACAGAAAGTACTCTTCAATGAAGCAGTGATGAGATGCTTTTGCGAGAAAGGAAATCAAGCTCTTCTTGAACTGTGTAACCAACATGTTAGTGGGCTATTAATTTTGCAAGTAGTGAATGAGTGTTATGTTAATGTTTTAGTTATTACAAAGCGGAGTGGAGAAAGTGTGTGGGGCCAATTGAAGCTTGAAACGAAAAATGTATTTGGGGGCTACGGAAGCTTAAAACAAAAAATGTGCTAGAGGGTGTGAGTATGCATAGAGATGTATACATGTTGCAGCTCTACAAATCTCTCCTTTCTTCTTTTTCCCCCCACTGGAGAGCTCATTCAATATGAATTTTGGATTCGATCAAAATACTTACTAAATAATGCCACTATATTTCTATCCTTCTGGACTTACATGTAGCACACTAGAGTGTCCTTTATATAGGACTTCATAGGTGACACGAGTCACACACCCTTAGAAGCCTTTACATATTCCCATGCAACCTATTTACTAATATGATGCATTTTCTTAAGAGATATATGTCACCTAACTTTTAGGAAATTGTGGATTATAATTTCCAAGGCCTTTCAATTCACAATTCAAAACATGGCCAAAGTTCATTTGTCCATTTGCTATTGCTTTTCTTGCCATCTTTAGGCAATTATCAATCCTTTACATTTTAATGTTGTCGTCTTTGGGTGATGACTAATCCCTTCTCGGTATGCTTTGACATACCCACATTTCATTTGTCCTGTTACAGCTGCATATGCAACTTCTGCTTTTTCTGTTAATCTTTTGGCAAAGATCAATTTGAACAGTTTTGCTTCTTTCACATTTGCAATGTGAATTTGAGGTCATTTAGCTATTATATTAGTTGAATTGGATGTGATATCTCAATTTACTGATACAGAAGTAATAATCTAGACATATTTATTCTTTTATTAAAAGCAAAGCATGATGGAATGAGGCAGTGTGGATTATCTGTAAGGGGCATGTTTTTACTCGGACCTGGCTGCCAATTATAAAACATCAAATTCTTGTTTAGGATACTACCATTGTTGTTTCTTTGTTTCAATAAGACTCACTGTTTTTACTTGGTATTTAAAAGTCGGCGTTAGTTGTTTAAATTTAGAATCGTGTAAAATTTTAATTGAATTCTTCATGTTTGAAGCTCAATAAGCTTGTTATATAATCTGCTGTGCCTTTTTATTTATTTATCTTTAAATTGTAAGCATGAAACTGCTAGTACCAACTTACTAGACATTAGAATATTACTCGCAGCATTTAAAATGATGTGCTTCGCCTCATGACAAAGGTTCATTTTAGTGATTTGACAAAAGTCTCAAAACAGAGTTCTGTTAACTTTATTGTTTTCTGTTTCATTTTTAGAAATGGATGACCCTTCGCGTATTCCACCCATTGCCTCAGAGAGACGACGTCGTGCATTAACTAATACTAGTCGTGGCCGAGGTCGAGGTTGTGGTCGGGGTGATGATATTGTGTTGGAGGAAGCACATCAAATCTTGGAGGAGGATGTGATCGATAATGGTTCAGGGGATGATGATGATACTGCTGATATAGATCAGGCTGAGGAGGTACTCACTAGTCCGTTTCCTGGGGGCCATCAGATCCATCAGTACTGAAGAGCTTCAAGGCACATATTGCAGCAGCTATATGGGAGCAAAAGGTAGTATATCTTTTTATCCATGTTTGTTTCATTTAATTATTTATTGAACAAAATTATTTATGTAAATTATTACTTACCTTGCAGGAGAGGAATCCCTTAAGGTGTTATAATCATGCGTCCAAGATTATTGAGTGACGGTGGTGGTCAAGAACTGACAATAGAAGGTTTAGGGACATTGTGCAGCTGTCAGGCCTATCTTCTTTGGTCCATTGCACATATCGGTTCGTGAATAGGATTGTCATAGCTGCATTTGTTGAGCAATGGCAATCAGAGACAAATACTTTCCATTTGACAGTTAGTGAGATGACGATGACATTGGATGATGTGGGTACCATCTTGGGGATCCCTATCACAGGTAGATCAATTAGTGCTGCAACTTTAACAGATCAACAGGCACATGCACTTGTGGTAGATGCCTTGGGAGTTGATGATGCTAAAGCAACTGAGGAGCTATCATCTGCTAGGGGACAATCAGTGAAGCTGGAGTGGTTACGAACCAAATTCAGTGGTTGCAAAGATTCAGACACCGACAGTGAAGCTGGAGTGGTTACGAACCAAATTCAGTGGTTGCAAAGATTCAGACACCGAGGAATCCATAGCTTGTGTCGCCAGAGCGTATTTTCTATTTTTATTGGGATGTACATTGTTTAGCGATAAGAGTGGGACGAGAGTTCCTGTTGTCTACTTGAAGTTGTTGATGGATTTGTCTGATATTCATACATATGCTTGGGGTGCAGCTGCATTGGCATATTTATACCGATAGTTGGGATTTGCCACGAGATCAGCTGTTCGACAGATGGCTAGTTACATGACATTGTTGGAGGCATGGATTTATGAGCATTTCCGGCCATTTAGACCTCACCAAAACATGGAATATACTGTACAATTGCCTAACGTGCATCGATGGACTCCTCGTCGGGAAGCTGGCTCAACGATATCACACCTACAGGCGTTACGGGAGGAGCTTGACAGATTGGCATTTGATGAGGTACATCAATTAATATTAGTTTAATTAAGTTTTCTCATTACATGTCACTCATCACGATTTCATTTGTGTTTCTTTCTTAGGTTACTTGGGATCCATATCGACATTGCCGTCAACATCACCCAGTCATGAGATCACATTCTACACTAGCTGTTTGAAGTGTTTGGATGTAGTTGAACTCTATTATCCTAAAAGGGTTCTTAGATAGTTTGGTAGGGTTCAGACCATCCTACCTGCGCCACTCGACCCTGTTCGTGCTGTTAGAGATGTGACAGCAGGCCGATATAAAGTGATGTATCAGTATCTTGATCAGATATGGGAGAGTTGGGATAATCATGTTTTATCTGCTCGGAGGAGGAGTACCCCAGTCAGACGTCCAATTGATTGTGTTGATGGTTACATGTAGTGGTATACAACCATCACACACTTACATATCCAGAACCCCACACATCGGTCTGGTTTTAACCCACATGCACAGGATAGTCGATTTGACATGCAGGATGCTGAGGTATGACAGTATTGGTCACACATTGTTTACAATTTTTTTGAAGATGGCATGTGTTAATTACAATTGTATTTGTTCTTAATGCAGCGTATTGATCACGCACTACAGATTGCCCATCCTATCATCGAGGCAGGCCATGATGCTAGTGTTCGTGAGCCAGATAGGTTATATATCAGGCCAATGAGAGGATGACACGTGTTCTTCAAGGTCAACAAATTGATGAGGCTGGACCTAGTTCTATTCCACTTCGAACATACAATCGTAGGAGACGAGTAGATGATAGGTAGTTGGTTATGTGGTAATCTTGTTTTGTTATCTTGTAATGGAAAAGAAGTACTCTTTTGATGTTTTTGTTGTTTTGTAATGAACAAAAATTACTCTACCAATATTTTGTAACGAACAAGTATTCATGGTTTGTATTTTTGGTAATCAACAGGAAGTATTATGCCAATGCATTTGATACACCGCAATGAACAAGTACTACCATGTGCATTAAATTAACTCAAAGCTTAATCCAACTCAACTATTTAAATGTTAATCCACAAATATGTATCGGTAACTATTTAAATTGCATCACTACAACTCAACTCACATACATACAATCAAATGTCTCTCTAGTAGCTACCCCTGAATGAACAACTTCTTTAAAATGCTCAATTCGGCGACTATATGCAGTATCCCATCCAGCCACACAAGAATGATGAAACTTGCACCAATTGGTAGCTATCGGTGGAACTGGATGACCCAGTAACATGAACACCTACATTGACACAGCTAGAAGTATGAGAGCAATGCAATACAAAATGATAAATGTATTACACAAATCATAATGCTATACCTGGACAAAATGATTCCTATTAACAAACCCAATAGCAATCTCACGTCGTTGAAGTTGTGATATTGGCACTGATCGTAGGGGGAGGAAAGTAAGGCATTGTTGTGCAGATAAGTGGTACAATACCACATTATAACAAGATGCAATAAGATGACCCATGTCAGGCATAGTCATCCAATGGTGATACCTTGGATTGGGCTCAAAGTATGATATAATATGGGCCAGCTCTTCAATCCTGTTATGTGAACCATATAGATGAGTGTAATGGTCTACGTGTGCGTGCAATTCCTGTAGGAGATCACGCCTGACTTGACCCCATTCAGCATCTGTAAGTCCTATCAAGCCAGCAATGGCCCTAAACTCGCAATTGCCATCGGCATCTACATCCTTGATAAGATGTATGTAAGGCTTCAATCCAACTGGAAGGGCATCAACATATGAATAAGTCGTACTTGTACGTGTCCGATTTACCTATTCAGCAGGGAAAACATCAACACATGAATAACAAAACACGTAATTTATCATAAACAAAAATGTAAGTAAAAAATGATTACATGTACCTGCTCTTTGGCAGGCCGTTTTTTATGTACTTAGACAGAATCTTGTGTGGGGATTAGGGTGCCCATAGGTGAGTGGCTATCATGTCCAGATTAAACTAGCTCAAATGCACATGGGTCTCGATGCGTAGATACATCTATCTTCTTATGTCCCTTACCTCGAGGGTTGGGCTTCACATCCGGCTCAATGAGAAAACTACTTTGCGGATCTGCAATCTCTCCTAACTTATGCAGAATTTCCAACTGTGTAGTGTAATTAGATGCATTGAATCGCTTAAGTATGAGATCAAATTTTGGTTCACACCTCAATTCCACTTTATCATTCTTCAACTTTTGTACTACCTCAAGAGTCCTCCAGTGTGGGTTAATGCTATCAAGTGGTATTGGACGACTCTGCCAGATGTAATCCGCAATCTCATGGGCACACGGTAACCCATGTGTTCGTTGAACAACACATCCACATACTGAAGCATCAATGCCAACATCATTCGCTCGCTTACTCTCTGCTAAGACATGATCTAATGCAGTAATAGAGATATTGCCTCAGAGCTCTCTAAAATGGGATGGTTTGAACTGGTGTTGTACAATGGTTAAACTCTTCTCAAACGATGCCTTAATATCAACATGCCGCAACTTAAGCAAACTATGGATCTTGGTCCAAGAACACTCAAAATTTACTTGGTTAGAACCAAGTTGCCGTTTCAGTTTTGCATGTGCACTTTCAGCCCTGTGTACAATGGAAACAATTAACATAATTAAGTTTAAATAATCAAAATCATAATGCGTAATAGTGTAAGGTAGACAAATATATATTACCTATTGGTTGTAACATTCCCGAAGTGCATACAACTATCTGTCCATACGGCAACAAACTTATCCTTATATGGAATTAACCAACTTTGTGACACATATTGCATTGACTCAGGATATGTATCAAAATCCGCAAGTAGCCTAGCAAGATGTTCATTGTATTCAAGCTCAGTTGAGGAGAGTACTAAGAAATTCCATAAAGAGATAAACTTGTCCCATTCCTCCTTACTCTTAAACATTTTCTTGCATTTCGCCAGTACATTTCTACTAATATGCCATCTGCATAATAAATGTCGAGATATAGAAAATACCTTGTCAATAGCATTCATCAAAACAAGCTGCCTGTCCGTGACAATCACCTCAGGAATAGCAATGTCATCCAAGAGACTACGCAATGTAGTTAACACCCAAATGTAGTTATCAATCCGCTCAAATTAGAGATATGCAAAGGCTACGGAGAATGACATATCAGTGGATGTCACTCCAACTATCTTAAGAAGAGGAAGACGATATCGATTTGTCTTATATGTGCAGTCCATGATCAACACCTTTGGAAATGAACGGAGCAAATCTAAACTGACAAGATGTGCCCAAAACAAGTCTGTGACAGTCATCGTGTTGTTGTCACACCTATGCCGCTCAATGTAATTATGCTTTTCTAACTCACCCAACAAATGTTGCATTTGTGATCTCCCAGCTTTCTCAATAACATTATTCCTATGACGTACATTGTAAATGGTTTTCATAGTGGTTACATTCAAAGCATCCTTTCGTTTCAATGTAACCAAAATCTCTTTCGGTCTGACCATGCTTTTGGACATATCCACTAATAATGATGTTTCCTCCTCAGATAATCTCCCTGCAAATGAATGTCCTTCAAAATGTTTAGTAGGAACATGGTTATGCATTCCACATCCTACATCTACCATCCAATCATCATCAGCCATCAACTTACGAGCCCTTAACTCAAAGGGACACCCGCATTTCTTTGTACCCGTTTTCTTCACAATTTTTTTTCTTGAATCATCTCCTTCTAATTTCTTATGAGCTCTGTATTGACCACTTCTCTCACAGGCAAGAAATATCCTTGGTGTCCTGTGACCACCACCATAGTCTGATGTCTTAATGACAATCACAAACCCATTTTTTCTTCCGACGTCCCGTACCCAACCAAGTAATTCTTCTTTGCTCTTGAAAACCTACAAGTCAAATTCAACAAAGTCATTAATCATCCGAAAAGAAAAAGAAAAAAATACTAATTTTCGACATGAGACTTCAGGGGGGTGGGCCATTTTATATGACTTTCTGTTAAAAACGTAGTTACGAATCACGCTTTCTTTTAAAAACAAATTTTCTTTAAAAGCGTGGTTAGAAATAACGCTATTACTTATAGATAAAAGCGCTAATAGGAATAACATTTTGTTAATTAAAAACATGTCTTGTAACAACACTTTTATGATTTTATTCATTTTGTGTGCCTGAACAAAAAACATACTGAAAAACGTGTTTTATAAACAAGCACTCTAAAAAAATTCGGCCAAACTCACATTAATTTGAGAAATAACTTAGTAATAACTTAGACTCCGTTTGGGAAGTAGGTTGGCTTTTTGGTTTTTTTGACTTTTTTGACTATTTTAACCTAGGCTAAAAAGCTTGGTTTGGGAATGACTTTTTGACTTTTTTTATTTTTTTATAAGAGAAAAGTATAATGATTATGAGTTGAATGTAATGTTTTATTTGTTATGACTAAAATAATCTATTTTATCTTTTGTGACTAAAATAATCACAAAAACCCTTGTAAACGGGGGGCTTTTCCCATATTAAGCCGCTTTGCATCTTATTTCCCAAACTAGGCCTAGTTTGGACGGATTTTCCAAACTAGGCTAAAGCGCTATTACAAATCGCGCTTTCACTGTTTGGAGTCCAAAATTTGATGAATAGTGAAAACGTTATTGCAAAACGTGCTTTTAATTAAGAAATCGCTGTTTCAAATCGCGCTTTTAACATAAAATTTTTTTCCTGAAGAAAACACTATTTGAAATCGCGCTTTCATTGTGCATATAAATTTTTT